AATGGTGCTTAGAAAGAATGAGAATAGATCGTAGCCATTGGATCACATGATCTAATGGCTTATAAAAAAGCCAAAAATATACCTTCATTAAGGATATTCTGGTAATTTTTTACCAATCACCAAAAAAAGTGGGCCTCAATATACATTTAATATACATGCCAACTAGCCCAATCAATAATCAATTGGTCAACCCACCCCACCTCACCCACGACACGCCACCCCACACTGCACTCTCTCTCACACACCCACACACACAATACACACACCACACACACACCAACCCGTCGAAAAAAATCTCAGCCACCCCAGGCCGCCAGTGGCCCGCCGTCCGCACCACTGCCCTCCTTGCACACACCGCCGCCGTTTTCTGCCGAGATCGCCGCCGCCGCCATCATCTGTAGAGCTCGTCACCACTGCCATCTGCAGCCCGCCGACGCCGAGGTTTCAAAATCTCCGACAGTGAGAATGCCATTATCTGCAGAGCACACACAGACGTACACTATATACACATACTCACGCATGAAATCTCCGACAGTCAGTCCGACATCTAGTAGCACCGCACACGGCCGTCGGCCCCCTGGCACCGCTCGCCGCCGCTCTCAGACGTCATGTCGCGCCGCCGCGTCGTCTCCGCCATTTTCGTCGACAACGATATAAGAATCGTTTCGATCGCCGGTGAGATCGAGAACCGCCCGGAAATCTGGTAAAATTGTCTCCGGCCACATTAAGTTCGCGGCCAACAGCGGCCTTCCAACTGCCGGCAGCTCTGCTTATGGCAGGGCAGGGCACGCCGTCGAATTACAGGCGCTGGAAATTGACTTGTTGTTTAGAGTTAGGGGCTTGTAGTTGAGAATATGATAACTTTGAAGGACCCAATTGCAATTAAAAGAATTTTAGTTAAATTCCAATTTGGTCCATACACTAAATATGTAATTAATAAAAGATAATATTTCTTATTTTTTTTTTGTTTTATACAAGTGCTAAATATATATATAGAGAGAGAGAGATATTATGTATTTTCAAGAAAAATAAATGTAAAATATTAAATAAAGAATAGTAAAAAAATAAAAATAAAATATACATGTTTATTAAATTTGCATTATTCTCATAAATGCATGTTAATGATAATAAGGTGAAATAATGTTTAAAATTTTTAATATGTGAAATTATAATATATTAAAATATTAAAATAATAAACATAATTTTATAATATATAAATAATAAATTATTTAAATTATTTTGGTTAATTCTATGTACAATTATATCTACTATTCTAGATTTCAAAAACACATAATTTATATGTGATCATATAAATTAGTGCACTTTATATATGATCGAGTTGCACTTTATAAATATTATTTCTTTTAATTTTTTTGTTTTACACTAGGGACAAATATATATATAGAGAGAGATATTATGTATTTTCACAAAAGAATAAATGTAAAATATTAAATAACGAATAGTAAAAAAATAAATAAAATATAAATGTGTATTAATTTTGCATTATTCTCATAAATGCATGTTAATGATAAATAAAGTGAAATAATGTTTAAGAATTTTAATATGTTAAATTATAATATATAAAAATATTAAAATAATAAATATAATTTTATAATAATAAATAATAAATTATTTAAATTGTTTTGGTTAATTCTATGTACAATTATATCTACTATTCTAGATTTCAAAAATACATAATTTATATGTGGTCATATAAATGAGTGCACTTTATATATGATCGAGTTGCACTTTATAAAACACTACGCTGCACTTTATAAAACAGCGCGTTGCACTTTATCATTACATTCTACAATTAAAGTGAAACAAGTCCCCCCAAAATACCACACAATATTGAACAAACATATACTGACTTAAGCATCGGAGGCTCTTCACCGGAAAACCCCTCCGGTGTGAGAGTTTTTGTGCAGGAGCGCGGCGTTCTATCGGCGAGGAAGAAGGAGGCGAACCGATTCCGAGCCGGTTGGAGTGTTTTGCGTTACCATTTGGCGCCGTCTGTGGGACTTTCGTTCGAAAAGTGGTGNGAGTTTTTGTGCAGGAGCGCGGCGTTCTATCGGCGAGGAAGAAGGAGGCAAGCCGATTCCGAGCCGGTTGGAGTGTTTTGCGTTACCATTTGGCGCCGTCTGTGGGACTTTCGTTCGAAAAATGGTGTGCTAAGATTTCTGTAGCTTGGTAGCTATGGCGGACGGAATTCCTAGGAGAGATCTGCAGGCATCGTTCGATGAGGCGTGGACGATGACGAGGCCGTTTGGAGAAGGCCCACCTCCGGGCTTCTCTGGACCCTTACTCACACCGGTGACTCCGACGCCTGTTCCCCAAGGTGTAGAAGTCACATCGGTGCAACCAGAGGCTGGTGTGGGTTCAAATCGGGCCCAAGAAACCCGCCCAGCTCAAGGCGTGGCGGTCCCAGCGCCGCCGCAACCAGATCTG